AATGACAGTGGTCATTAATCTGTATTTAATGTAAAGTGCAAACATCATACAAAACTAAATTGTTTATTTAAAAATAAACAAATTATTTTATTATAAAATTAATGTGTATTGAGTGATAATCAAGACAATTGTAATATTTAAACAATTGTCTAGACTTGCCTAAATGTGTTTTGAAATTATAAACAATATATTAATTGTTCGTATATAAATTTTAATAAAACCCCATAACAATACGTTTATAAAATACCAACTAGTTGAATAACATTTATAATTAATGTTATTATTTTAAATCACTATATTAAAATTAATTCTAGAACTTATTATAAATTATAATACATTATAAATTTTAACATTAATTATACATCGATGTTTTACGTTAACCCCAATTTGTGTGGTGTACAATATTTAAAATGTCTATTTATTTTTAAATAATAAGACATAAGATTAGCATTTACCATAGTTTTGGATTGTCCATAGATTCAGCGTTATCTATTATAAACTTATGTCATTAACTTATGCTGTAATCTCATGTTAAGTCTCCATAGAACGGGGGAAAGGGTCGGTGAGAAGGGCGGATCAATCTTACAGAGAAATACAATATAACATGTAAATAGCCGGTAGTTGTCGATAGGCGCCGGTAGTCGCCAATAGGCCCGGTAAATAGCCGGTAGTCGCCGATAGGCACCGGTAGTCGCGAATAGGCGCCGGTAAATAGCCGGTAGTCGCCGATAGGCACCGGTAGTCGCCAATAGGCGCCGGTAAATAGCCGGTAGTCGCCGATAGGCACCGGTGGTCGCCAATAGGCACCAATAAATAGCAGATTATTACTGGTTATCAGTTGGCTATTCTGTGAGATATAAGGATTATTTAGATTTTATAAACAAACACATTGCTTTTCATTAAATTTGATTTAATGGTCAAAATTATTTTAAAAAATTACTCTATTATAAAATTTACATGAATTGAACAATAGTAATAGAATATGTATTAATTTTGAAATATCCGTCTAAACATTAAATGGGCTTTGAACTTATAAAACAACAATTTAATTGTTTGAAATTTATTAAATTTAAAAAAAAAAACAAACTTTAGTCATTAAAATGTAACAGCATAAACAAGTTCAATAACATTTTAAATTATTATTATTATAATAAAGCCACTTTTAATAAAACCTACCATCATTAAATAAAACACATAATTATAAAAAATAAAAGTATAATTTGATCATATTTAAATTATTGTAATGTATTAATAATCAAAGCGGTTTTATTAATTATGATAATGTTAATTATTGTCAATAATTTTAACAATAATCATACAGCACTATTGAGTGTTAATTCTAATTCATGTTTTTATTCATATTAGATATTAACTTTATTTTCATATTTAATAATAATCATAACGGTTGCTCTTGTTGAATTAGCATTTTTATATATACAGTGCAACTTCTCCATAAGGAACGGCCATATGCACGGCAAAAGTGTTCCCTATAAAGAGGGTTCCTCCAAAAGGAGGTTCTGTTAAAGCTATAGAAAATCCAAAATATGCTTAAAATCTGTTCCTCTAAAGGAGGTATTCCCCCAAGAGAGGTTGCACTGTAATTAGTATTAGTCTCATTGATTTAACATTGTCCATATAATTAACATTAGTTTTATTGAGCTAGCATTATCCATAGGCTTATCATTGCCGTAGAGTTAGCACTACATTAGATTCAGCATTGACCATGTTATTCATTTGTCATAATCTTAGTATTGACCATGTTATCCTTATGGGGAAAAGGCAACACGATCCTATAAACCGCATTCAACATGTATGAATTATATTTAATATTAATATTAAACTTTAAAAGGCTAATATAACAATATTTAAAAATAGTTTTATAATTAACATAATTATAATTAAATAGTTAAATAAATTATCCATATATAAAATGTGTTTTGAAATGATATAAAATTATATTTGTTGTTTAAATTAAAAATAATATTTTAATTTAAAACCCTTTGTAGTGTTTGTATGCTTTACGTGTATTATTGATGTATTATACAACTTTCACTATTTTAACAATGTGTCTAGACTTTAAATGTGTTATTTTAATAATAACATATGTTTTTGTTTATAAGTAATTTTAGTTATAACCTACGCATAAGTTGAATAACATTTGCAAATAGTATCATTATCTAATATAAACATAATAAAAATATTTTTATAAATTATAAAAATTGTTTATTATTATTATAATAAATATAATCAGGGATTATCATGCTGAAATACATAAGATAGTGATTACTGTATGAATTATATATGTAATGTAATTTATAAACAAATTCAAATGTTATAGTATTAGGCATACTATGGCTAAAATATAACTTTGCTATACAAAAGTAGCCAAAATATCGAGTTTATTTAATATTTATGTTAATTAAAATTAAAAATGTATAAAATTACAATTATTAATCAAGAATTGTGTCAACTCCTTTATTATTGTATAAATAAACAAATATTTAATAAATGTAGTAACATTTCTATTATTTATTTTAAATTTAAAATAGGGAACAGTTGGTCACGCTGGTGACAATACAGTAGGTCTATAGTTTTTGTAAAGGTAAATTTATAAAATATAATAATTTTAGTTAACACATAATTATATAAAACAGGTTTTATAATAGGTGGTTATGTTTTAAAAATAGTATCATTGTTCTATGTAATTATAATAGCTTGTTTAAACGTAAAATTATAACAAAATACTATATAATTAGTATATAATATTTAATATCATGATCAGGGATCAGCATGTTGAAATATAATAGTAAATAGTCACTACTGTATGAGTTATAAATATATCAATCTATAGACAAATTCATAGCTGATAGCACTAGTCATGCTATTATTCAAATATAACCTCACTATACAAAGTAGCCATAAGGTGGCATACATTGACCATAAGGTGGCCATATAGTTGTTCTACAGTTTTAGTTAACACAAATTTTTTAAAATATAAGAATTTTAAATAAAACATACAATTGTATAAAACAAAGAAGTACAAATTAAAAATAAATACATTTAAAATTATTGTTATTAGTTTATATAACTATGATTAATATTAAATATTTATAAAAATAGAACAGGCCAATATATGATTAGTGTGTATTATGTAATATAATTATAGTTAGATTGTTTATATGTAATATTTGAGGCATTGTTTTAACAATAAATGAGCTGTTTTAACAAATAAATTGGTCCATCTATGGATTCAATATTTATCATACACTTAGAATTGACCATGCTAGACCAATATAATAGATTTAAACTGTAATTCCATAGAAACCCATGTTAACCATTCTATCATAAAATTAACATAAATGCCATAAGGTTAACATAGAAACAATTACCCTTTTCCTTTATAGGAAATTATGTCCCATAGGATTAACATTATCCATTGAATGACATTGGGCCATGCTAACGTCTACGGGTTAAATTGCAGTCCCATGTTGAATCTCATAGAGCAGGGGCTAGTGAAAAAGGGAACCGAATATTTCCATTAACCACATTATTCATTGTTAAATTGTGGGTAAACATCATAATAATTATGTATGTTGTTTAATAACCAACCCGATTATCATACTCAAGCATATTGTTTAGGCTTTAAATATGTTTTGAAATAATAAATCGTTATATTAATTAAATATTAATTTAATTAAAACCCCAAAATAATATAAGTTAATAAACTACAACTTAGTTGAATAATATCTAAAATAGTCGTAACATTTATTAAAATTACAATAAATCTTAATGGCTTGTTAGAAATTAAATTACAGAGTAAGCTTAATTATAAAGCTAAATATTAACTATAATTATAAATCGTAAAACAAAATATTAGTTGAAAATAAATTTAATTAAAAACCCATAGATATTAAAATTATTAGAATACAAAATAATTCAATAACATTTTAAAATATTATTATAATTTAATATAGTTGCTTAATTTAACATAAAACCAAAACAAAATTATATAGCAGGAAATTAATTTACATAATAATGATAATAATATAAATTGTAGATATAGTTTAGTAATATTTAAAAATATTATTCCCAATATAAATAATTATTATGAAAAACTCAATATAAGATTAAATAAATTTATTCATGATGCCGGTTAGTCACGGTCGTGCCATTCACCGTCATGTTGGGTGGACCCAATAATAAAGTAAACAATAGTCCAAAACCATAGTAGTCAAATAAGCCCAATAATAATATTATTAACATAAATAGAAATACAAGCGAACAGCACATTTTGATAGAGTGTAACTGCAATGAGTAGTCGATTCAATTTGACTTCTCTTTGACGACCGTTTCTGAATTCAACTCAATTATAAGACATGCGTCGATCTCGTCATGTTCTGTGCAACAGGAAGGCCTAGAATAGTAGTCACAATTCAAAATAGCAATGATATTATTGCAATGATAACACGTGATCGGGTAATTCAAATCGCGATCACAAATGTTGTCTAGCTGAGGGGCCATCCAATCTGTTGGTTCTATGAATTTTAGTTTACATTCATTGACTGACGAACCGTCCATTTGTCTAATAACATTTATGTTATTAAACAACTGTATTTGGCAATTTCGACACGAATATGATTTGCCATTCATTACACATGTTGTGTGCTTGGTGATTTTGGCTATTGCCCATAAATACTCAGAAAAATCCACCCGTCGTCCATAAATAACGTATGTCTTAAGAAGGTGTTCTCTCAATTCAATATTATTAGCATCTGTTGTGAAAACCATTTTCTGATATAATTTAACTTGGTATTTATAGCTAGCTGTGATCCGTCTGCGAGTGACTAATCGTTTGGCTTTTTTATACGATTGACCCGTAACCTTCATTACAAACACGATACAGTAAATGAAACGTTCGATGACATTGTCCGCACAAACAGCTATTGGCCACCCGGTTTTCTCAACCTGCTTCTCTAATATAGCCATAACTTTAGCGATGTTTAGTATAATATCGCCATTAGTTCGCCCATATAATCTGATATTACAATACTTAATGTTTGGTAAACGGCGCCCATATGGTTTTGAAGAATCAAAAAAAGTAAATATTGTTCTTATCTTTAAATCTGTCAATTCTTGACGTGATCTTTTTCCTTGCAAGTCCAGTTCGTCACACGTATAGAACTGACCATATACTTTATGGATGTCATTTTGTCTGCCACGGTCATCACAACCGGCGAAGACATCACATTCGCCGTCATCTGTATCAATAATCGAGTCGTTTGGCAAGTTTTTCTCGGCCGATAGGCTGATGGTTGCGCAAGTTGACAACTTAATTGATTGACAACTACTAATAGGGCTACTGGTATCTTCTGGAATAATTAATATGGGCCACGCAGCGCTAACGTGCGATGTTGCTTTGACTACGGGTGTAGATAAAAGTCCACTGACCTTTTTCCTTTCAACCGTGTTATCAACCGACACATCCAAATCGTCACAGTTGCCCATGCGTTGACTTGCAGGACGAGTACGTTTGCTCTCCTCTGCTTCTATCACCCATTTCAGTACACCTAGTATACGCTGTTTTTCGCTATCAGGTAATTGGAACTGGCCATTGTTGACTCGCACCATCGATACGTCGGTCAAAATACACTCAAAATCAGTTAAATCGTAATAATCGAGCGTATAGTTCATGGGTCTCTGCTCATCAATGTTAAACCATTGAATTTTAAAACTTCCCAAAGTTTTAGAAATGTTTTGTTCGGCCCGGCATAAATAAAATCCATTAAATTCGTTACGAACCGCCAATATATCATTTTTGTGATATATGACATCATAAGGTGACTCTCGTCGCAGTCGTTTGCTAGCCCGCTGTGGAGTCTCTGCAATTGTTGTGCAATCATTTCGCCTAGACTTTACTTTAGTCACTTTTATACTATCGATCTGTGTCGAGTGCGGTGACAAATAGTGTTCAACTAGTGCCTCTTTGGTTACAAAATTGTAACCACAGCCTATGTATTTGCATTGATAAATCTCATTTGGGTACTTATCTGCTGCAATCGCCGCGCTATCAATGGCACTCTGAATGTTGCGTCGGTTCTCTTTTTCCCACAGTATCGGCCGCCCGGCCTGCACGCTTACTGTGTGTTTTAACGCTGGGGGAGCCGGTGATGGGAATGATAACCCATTCGCTATGCAGTACTGACAACTCCAGATATCTATAGAGACTGTCCTTTCGATCGTCATACATAATGGATGATAAGCGCGCGGACACGTATCGCAGACAAATAAATCGCCAAAGTCATTACAGACTTCACAGTAGTCACGATTCTCAATGATTTTAACATTGTCAACAGCGAGACTTACAGCATTACTTATCTCTTTAGGGTCTTGGTTTTCGTTGACCAGTTTACCGACCACTATACTATGGTCAACAGCTGACACGATGAGTATGCCGTTAGAGTTGATCTCAAATGTTACCTCAATCGGATGTATTCCTCTAGAGGCTGAGTCATTGCAGGTTAGCTCGTATCTGCCCACAAAGTTGTATTCGTTGGCCCCCGGATTCTCACCCTCATAGACAAGGATCAGGACTACAGATCGGTCATTTGAGTATGTGGTAAACGTCTGGGTCTGTTTGATGGGAATCGGTGTATTACATTTGATTAGAGTGGTCATGTGGGGCATCTCAATATACAACAAGTGTGGCATCACATCCTTCACTATGAAATTTTGAATGGCTGTGTGTTTGTCTCCGCTCAGGACTGCAGCCTGTATGGCAGCACCGGATACGATCGCCATGTCTGGACTTATGCTTTTGTTCAACACTTTATCATTGAAAAAGTTCTGCAACAGCTTTTGAATATATGGGATACGTGTCGACCCACCTGTTAATACTATGTCGTGCACTTCAGTCTTACCCAAATTTACATCTCGTAGGCATTTTTCTACAAGTTCTAAGGTCGTGCGGAACAGATCGGCATTCAGTTCTTCAAATCGAGCTCTAGTGATGGTCGCACAAAAATCGATTCCCTCAAAGATAGCGTCAATGTTCAGCGACGTATGTGTCATAAAAGAGAGGGTTCTCTTTGCTCGTTCACACTCTTCTCTCAATCGGCACATTGCACGCTTACTGACAGTCAAATCCTTATTATATTTGCGTTTGAATTCCTGTACGAAATGATCAACTAATCGGTTGTCAAAGTCTATACCTCCTAAATGTGTGTCCCCGACCGTAGATTTTACGTTTATATGACCATTATTTATGGCAACAATCGACACATCGAATGCACCACCGCCTAAGTCGAAGATCAGCACATTTCTCTCACCCTGGTCTTTATTACTTAGGCCGTAACCGATGGCCACAGCCGTCGGTTCATTAATGATCTGCAACACGTTTAGCCCACATAGGTTTCCTGCGGTCAAAGTAGCCTGCCTTTGACTGTCATTGAAATACGCCGGGACCGTAACCACAGCATTGGTCACCGGTTTGCCGAGATATGTCTCTGCTATCTCCTTCATATGAGCTAACACTCTGGCAGAAATTTCTTCAGGGAATAACTGCTTTTCCTGCCCCATATAGTCGACTCTAATCTTAGGTTTGCCGTCGGCTGAGAAAACATCAAAGGGCCAGTACTTCACATCTGACTGAACTGAAGAGTCGTCAAAGCGACGGCCAATCAATCGTTTGGCGTCGAACACAGTGTTTAACGGATTCATCGCCACCTGATTCTTAGCCGTTTCCCCAATCATTTTCTCGGTGCTATTAAAGGCCACATAGGAAGGTATAGTGCAAATACCTTGATCATTAGCAATGATCTGCACTTTACCATGCTGATAAACAGCAACCCTTGAGTAAGTGGTTCCCAAATCAATACCAATCGCTGGCACTTTTGCCATTACTAAAGTATATTAGAATATATTGATTTAAACAATCAGTTTGTCATATTATAGTTGTTATGGTAGGTAATAATATTTAGTAACTTATTTAAAAGTTTAACTTATATTTATTTATTAGAAAATATTGTTATTTAATGTAAAATATTATTTTACAATATAGTATTGTCTATTTAATTAAATATTATAAATAAAATGGATTGTGTATTTATAATAAAATGTATTAAATTATATGTTAAACAAGGATCAATCAGCGATGTTATACTTTAACTACAATGTCATAAAATTATCTACAAATTTAATGTTAATTGCATAAACTTAGCATGGTAATTTGGTTTTATTAATAAAATATTTATAAAATTATATTATCATAAACGTTAAAGTATAGCCACAGGATTATAATTTTATCTCATGTTAAATCCCATAGAGTAAAGGGATGGCACCGGACGATCCTATAGACCACAATGTGCAGTTAAATTGTGGTTAAATTTTAATAAATATTCCATTAATTAATTTAGATTTTTAATTTAGAATAGAAATTTATCTTAAAGTTATGTTAAATTGGAATTTAATAAAATGCAATTGATCAGACTAATTAATTTTATTTAATAAAAATAACATCCCATCTAATAACATTGCTTATAATTTTAGTATTTACCTAGATATAACAACTCAATTAATTTAAACTGTAATCCTATATTATATCCCATAACAGGGGAAGGACAGGGAGGGCCGGTAGTCACTGATAGTGGCCAGAGTTGGCCGGTAGTCGTCGTTAGGGGCCGGTAGGGGTCGTAAATCGCCAATAATTAGTTTACTAGCTATAATTAATCAAGATCATTTACACTATTATACAATAACTGAGACACCGGTTGTGCCCAGCATTACAAACGCTTTTAAAATAGTCAACATCACCTAGGTAGTTTAGAAATTCAAATGATAAAATAAGTTTAATAAGTTATATTTCCGTTTAGCATTCTTGATATTTTATCTAAATAAGCGTTAGTCCCATAGAAATACAATGTTAATAAAATTAACATTATACACAGAAAGATATTATTTTACATAAGATTATTATTATCTGTAGGCTTAACATGGCCAATGGTCGACACGACCGTGGATATAGCACGGCCACAATCTTAACAAGATCACACAATTAACATGGCCATATCTACAACAATCATAGATTTATAATGTTAAAAATATATTGTGTTTTTAATTTTTAATTATAATTAATTTTGCTTTTCATAACTGATTTAGAGATTTTAATTGAACATAAAATTACTCATACATTTAGCAATAACCATGTAAATCAGCCCTGGACATATATTTATCCTGGCAAGCCCTCCATAGATATAGCATTGTCATGATAAACCAGCCATAGACTTAGTATTACCCTGGTAATGAATAACCTGAGCATTGCTTCAACACAGTCATAGGCTCAACATAGCTAGGCACTAACCGGTGGCTTAGATTGAGCGTGGCCATATGTGTAGCATTGCTTTGGACTTAGAATCGCCATATATTTCAACCATAATTCTATGGATCATTTTACTTGTATCTCCATTATAATTAAAATTAATTTAGCAGTCAATTAAAAATATTTTGTTATTTATTATAATTTTAAAATTATTTACACTACTAATAATTAAATTAAAATTACATTTACAATCAAATCATTATGGATTTTTATGACCTAGCTTGCTTTCGTAAACCGTGAATAATTGTAACTCATTAGCTTATTTGTATTAAAATTTTACCATGGTCAAATTATGTAATCCATTATAATTTAATTGTAAATAGAACAATATCTATATGTTGCTTATTATAAAAATTAGTAATTTTATAAATGAATTTATTTAAATGTTATTATAATGTATAAATAACTCACTATAATCAGAATGACGAAGAAATTATATTATAAGGTTTGCAGAAGTTATTCGTAGACAATTCACTCGAAAATTAGTGTTAAGTCTATGGTATGAGAAATAATTGTTATATAAAATTAATGTGAGTATTCATACTACCTTATACAAGTTATTTGTAAAATTAATTATAGTTTATAATTATTATTAATAACCACAAACACTTATAATAGTTTTAATTGTTCATTTTAAAATTTCACACTTTAAAATATATCCAATTAGAAGTTTTCGAAAATATGATAATTGGTCACAATTTTGATAGTTTGAATATATTTATAATAGGTATTTATTAATATTTTTGGGACACGATATAAAATTGATAAATGTTGAATATTATTTAATATAGCAAATTAATTTTGGTTAATAATTAAAATAGACAACTAATAACTTTTTACAAATATTTTGATCAAATCACAAATAATTAAAACTAAAAATTATAGGTGCAAAAAAAATGTTTATTCTATTTAATTATTTTATTTAAAATTTATATGGTGCTATTGTTTATTGTATTGAGTACAAACAAGTCCTTGAACCCAAGCATATATCTATACTTTAACATTACTTTTAACTTTAAATTATTAAATAAAATATAACTTTCTATTATGCTATGAAATAATTCTATTTTGTGTGTATTTCTATTATATATTTTTATATTTTATATGTTTTCAATAGTTTAAAAGAGGGACAAAATCTATTGTATCTAGACATCTGTTAAATAGTGCTAAATAATATAATAACAAATATTAACCCTAAATTTTATTAAATTTTGTTGAAGAGTCTGTATAATTCAATAATTATAAAATAGAAATATAGTAAAAATATTTAGTGTTTTCAAAACATCTGTGATATAATTTGGGATATTACAAAATTAATTGCCTAAACAATAACCCTTTATTAAAAATTGTTTTTATTATGTTTATTAAATTACAGATGTTAGCAATCTATTTGGGCTAATTTAATGAATGTAATTGTTTAATTGTGTTAAAATTATTTATTGTATTATTTTGTTAAAATGAATAATATATGATTTAAAATAAACTGTTTTATATTTATCTCATCTCAAAAAGCATTTTTAAGTAATATTAATTCTTTTTAAGATTGATTTAATAGTTATATAAAATTTCCGTATGAAAATAATTATAAAAAAATAGATAATAATATAGCATATCATAATGTTACATAAATAAAACATAACCCATAGGATTAACATAACCATTGTTATCTGTTGTCTGGGCACTATCGGCACCTGTAATTCATTCATATTTCCCGGCATTTGTATGACATGTCTGTCCCGATTGCTTATCAAATGCCTACCCTTTTTTACCATAACCAATTTCAACGTTAGTCTATGGAGATTTTATTAATAACTTTATGTTAATAATGTTTGTATTTGTTATTGTTACAACTTTAAAAGATTTGTATTTGAATCTAGTTGGATTAAATAAAATTTTAATCAAGACTTTTATTATAAATTAGTATTTAATCAAATGAATATATTTATTTCTGCTTTTGTATTTATTATACAGATTGTGGATTATACTCAAGTTACCATGATTATGTTGTTACAATTTTATTAATAAATATAAGTTTACTCTTAATATTACCATTAAATTTATATGTGTATTTTAATATTTTAAAATTATATATTATAATGTGCACAGTTTATTTAAGCTATATTATATGGTCATATTTTTAACATTGCCAACAGGCTAAATTCTCCCAGAGGATTAACATTACATATTATATAATATTACTATAAGCTTGGTATTACTAATACATGTATTATTACCATGGACTTTTAATCTCCCTAGGCTTAACATTGTTCATAGAATCAGCATGACCAATAGATATAGCATTACTTATATGGTCAGCAGTGGTCACGCCATGTAACACTGTTACTTTTATAGAAATTTAAATACTTATTATTAAAATAACTTTATAACAAACTCATATTAATTGAAATGTCCTTGGTAGAAATATAACTATTCACTACGGTTTAACTAACATTACAATAAGCATTATATTGTTACGGTAGGCAATATTATTTCATGTTAAAATAATTAAATTTAATTAAAACTGAATTAATTTTAAAATATGCTAGTGGTGATATTAGTGCTAAATTAACATCAAATATGTATCAAATAACATTTTTAACTTTAGTACAATTATAATTATTAAATAGATAATAATATTAGCATGATGTTTGAGTTTTATGTTTTTGGTTATGTTTACGATAATGTTTACGGTTTCTCTTAGCATTGGGTTCTTGAGTAACTATCTCAGCAATTGTCGGATCCATTAATGTCTGTTTACGGGTAAATTCAAATGTCCTCTGTTCAGTTTCCGAATCCGTCTCCGAGTTCGCTTCCCCGTTGACTCGTTTTTTATACAATTGCAATGTCGCTGTGGCGTCGGTTATGGGGCAATGTTTCTTTGCAGAAATGCTATTTCTGTGATATTCTTGTATGCGCTTGCCCAATAGAGCAAAAGAAAGGGTTTTAAGGTTTATGGGGCCATCTCTGCCCATATAATACTCGGGTGATTGAATATCGACCACTTTCTCGCTGTACTGCTCCAACCCAAGGGCTGAAAGGTCTGCCTTTTTATTTGCAAACACAACGGTATAATTTTTTAGATAGTATTCTAAATCCCGTTTAACGATATCGATCGGTCGACCAGAATCTATCATTTCGGCCGTAAGCCCTGAATACTTTGTTTGTAAATCTATGGTGTGAATAGGATATTTGATTTTGCTTTGATAAATACAGGTCTGTTTCAAATGGTATTTCTTTAGCTTTCGCAAAGGCAGACAAATTGAGACGCAAACATATCCCGCCAAAAGTTTATTATCTGTTAACCTCTTGACACACTCAGTGTCAATTGCTAGCGGTTCGCTCCGTGGTGGGTATTTCTCTGTTTTAAAGAATGGTATGACTCTCATATCAATTTTTGGCCACTGTTTCCTCTTTCCTCTTCTCATCCTACCGAACCGTTTGTTCCTTGGGTTCGGTCGTTTCGGTCCCTTCGTCGGTGGCGACACAAATGTTTGAGGGAGGGTAACAGAGAGAGCAGGACTCGTTCGCTGGGTGTTCGTAACAGGCAATACTACGGACATGTTGAAGCCAAGATTTTAAGCTCTTGTAATTTGTCGTTAACTCGCCTTCAAGGCGTTTGCAATCTTGCTTCTTTGCCTGTCTGTCCGGAGTATTTAACGGTTTATGCCAAAGTTGTTTGTATTTGGTTAACAATTTTTCAATTGTTTTAATAATATTCAATTCGAGATGTTTTCGCTCACTGTAAAGTGGCGCAAATAACGGATGTTTATTGTATTTTACAGATATGTTTATGTTTTTAAGTGATTTCGTGTGAATCACTTTTAGTTCGTTTAATTGTAGTTTTC